TGATCTGTGCCAAGGAAAGCACCTGAGAGTTCTCCATAGTGTGAACACCCGTCCCGCTGCAGAGCCACCCAAAGTCTAGTTAACAGCGGTACCGAGGTTCTTTACCTGGACCGGCCATCAACTTCCAATCGTGTCCTATTAAAGGTTGTGAGAGTGCTTCTACGGAACAAGGATCGTACTCTTGACACATATGCGGTATTGGATGATGGATCGGAACGGACAATGCTCCTTCCAGAAGCTGTTGACCGACTTGGATTGCAAGGTAGACAAGAGAATCTTGTCCTCCGCACAATACGTCAGGATGTTCAAACATTGAAGGGATCATCCGTCTCATTCTGCATATCACCTCTTGCACATCCCAGAAGAAACTTTCAAGTTGCAGAGGCATTCACTTCACAACGTCTCAGCCTGGCGGATCACTCATATCCCATCTCCATGTTGAAGAGGAAATATAAGCATCTGGCAGACCTCCCCATTGAACCATTCGAGCATGTCAAGCCACTTGTATTGATAGGAGCTGATCATCCCCATCTGCTTACTCCCGTTGAGCCAGTGAGGTTAGGCCCTCCAGGAGGACCGGCAGCTATCCGTACCAGACTGGGTTGGACGCTTCAGGGGCCGACTCACCTCATTCAGTGGATAGCATGCACACAACAGTGCCTCCTTACCAGTGTTTCACCGCAGACAATCGAGGAATGTTGAGAAACTCTGGCAGATGGATGTGCTGCCTTTCCAGAGTGACAAGATGGTGGTGAGATCGAAGCAGGACAAGGAGGCAATAGAACAGTTGGAGGCAAAGACAAGAAGAGTAGAGGTTGCTGGCATCCTCCGGTATGCTACTCCGTTGCTACGGAAAAGGGACATGCCACTGTTCCAGGCAACCAAAGAGGCCGTTCTCCCGAGCTTGAGGAGTACAGAGAAGCGATTGACAAAGGACCCTCAACGTGCCAGAGCCTACTGTGAGGCAATTAATCAGCTGGTACAATCAGGAGCTGTAAAGAAATTGGGCCCAGGCGAGATCTCAAAGACTGGTGAAACATGGTACATACCTCATCACCTAGTAAGCCACAATGGGAAAGATCGGCTTGTTTTCAACTGTTCCGTGGACTGAATCTGAACGATGCCCTTCTTCCAGGACCGACCTTGGGCGCATCTCTTCTTGGTGTTCTGCTTTCCTTGCAGCGAGATCAAGGGTCGCTCCTCGGCGACAACACTCCATTCCACGTCTAGAGCTCTGTGGTGCACTGACAGCAGCCCAACTGGCAAAGATGTTGGAGGCGGAGCTGACCTTGAAGGTTGACCAGACTATACTTTGGAGTGATTCAACCACAGTGCTCTCCTGGCTGCAGTCGGAGTCGTGCCGTTTTAAAGTATTTGTGGGCACCCGTGTTGCTGAAATTCAGGAGCTCGCAGAACCCAGCGCATGGCGTTATGTGGACTCCTCACTGAATCCCGCCGATGATGTCACACGGGGTAAGACTGTTGGGGAGCTTGCCTTGCCTAATCGCTGGAGCCAAGGGCCCTCTTTCCTCCTTAAGGGACTCGTCGAATGGCCGTCCCAATCACCTAAGCCATCAGTTTCAGATTCGTCAGAGTACAGGAAGTCAGTGTCTTGTGGTATTGTGACTAAAAGCGACTGGCCATGTTCTCTACAAGGAGGCCAACACACTTGGAAGGATCTCATTGAGGCTACTGTGCGTGAGCTTCACGGGGCGGCTGGACAGGGTAGTGCTGTTACTGCTTCAGATTACCATCAAGCAGAAATGACAATCTACAAGAGGATCCAGCAAGACTGTTTCCCAGAAGAATGGCATCACTTCAAGAAGGGCAAGTCAGTACCGAATAGTAGTCGCCTACTTACCTTGTCCCCAGAGTTAGACCCTAAGGAGGCGATCATACGTGTCGGTGGTAGATTGCGGCGGGCTGAAGCTCTCGATTCTGCTTTTAAACACCCGATCGTACTGGATCCTGGGCATCCAGCAACCAAGCTACTTATACAGGACTATGACAGTCGTCTCTGTCACCCTGGACCTGAACGGGTTTACGCAGAAATGCGCCGCACCTTTTGGATCCTACGTGGGAGAGAGGCAATCTGTCATGTTTAACATCTCTGTAAGGAATGTCGAAGGTGGAAGGCTAAGCCTTCGGTGCCAAAGATGTCGGACTTACCTGTGGCCCGTCTGCGTCTATATAAGCCAGCCTTCTATTCCACAGGTGTAGACTGTTTTGGGCCTTTCCAGGTGAAGTTGGGACGCCGCTCCGAGAAGAGATGGGGTATTATATACAAATGTCTCACTACGCGAGCGGTGCACCTGGACCTCTTACATAGCTTGGATTCAGACTCCTTCCTAATGAGGCTCAGGAGATTCATTGCCCGTAGAGGTCCGCCGGCTGAACTCTACTCGGATCAGGGCACAAATTTCAAAGCAGGAGAGAAAGAGCTTCGCGAGAAATTTGACGGTCTTTCCTCAGAGCTTCAACAACTTCTAGCGAAGCAGAAGATTGCCTTTCACTTCAACCCTCCGGCAGCACCCCATTTCGGTGGGGCATGGGAGCGAGAGATAAGATCGGTCAAATCTGCTTTGTACACAGTTGTAGGAGCTCAGCCGGTCTCTGAGGAAGTACTCCGTACCGTCTTGTTGGAAGTCGAGGCGATACTAAACTCAAAGCCACTGGGATATAGCTCCGCCAATATAGCAGAAATGGATGCAATCACTCCGAACATCCTCTTGATGGGGCGGCTAGATGGTGCTTTACCCCAGGTGGTATACAACAAGAGTGAAGGCTTGAGCAGGAAAAGATGGAGGCACTGTCAGGTCTTGGCAGACCACTTCTGGTCTAGGTTTATAAGGTACTACCTGCCCACCTTGCAGCCTCGACAGAAGTGGCATACCACCACAGGGGATCTTGCGGTCAACTCTGTTGTTCTGATGATGGGCCCACAGCTTCCCAGGGCTCTTTGGCCAGTCGGCAGGGTGACTAAAGTACATCAGAGCGCTGATAGTCGTGTAAGGTCAGCAGACGTCCGGATCAAGGACAGAGTCTACACCAGACCAGTTGCCCGTCTCATCCCCCTTCCAGCCATCCCAGATTCATAGGAGGAGACGAATTCCATTGTAGTGCCCCGGAAGAGGGTGAACAGTGAGCCTTCCTCTGGAGCAAATTGCATGCAATTTGGGGGCGGCTGTGAGAAAGTCTCACTGATGACACTGATTTATAACATGAATATATAAGAGCGCTCTCTTCCCGTTTGCGGGGACTCTTATTTTGGCGGAATGCAGCTTGTTCGGTGGATTACCTCAGAGCGCAGTGCGCGTGCGATTCAGTCTGGTATCAACCGTTATCTTCAGTGAGAACGGGCTGTGAAATTCCCTTACTGAATGCCGTTTAAGATCGTCGTTGTGCTACTTCGAGTGTTGAAGTTGTGTGCGTCCAGAGAGAAAGTGAGTTTGTAAATTTCACTATGTTACTCGAGTTAAGTTGATTGTTGTTTACTGTATAGAGAATTTAAGAGAGTGACGACACAAATGGATGCTAATGTGAAGTATAGCAGTATTTGAGTTATCATCCAGTACAGTGTAATCATGTAAGCTGTGTAGCTTTATGGTTTATGTTCTACTGTATTTAAAGGAAACACTGTGTTAAAGTTTGAGGGAAGCCAGTAGTTTTAATGCTATTTATGTTGTCATGAATGTCAAGTCAAGTCACATTTATTTATATAGCGCTTTTCACAATACAGATTGTATCAAAGCAGCTTCACACTGATAACATGAAAGTAGCACAACACAGGATTAACAACATTGCTAAACACTAAATAATCCCAACTGAGCAAGCCCAAAGCAAGCCAAAAGCAAGGCGACAGTGGCAAGGAACCAAAACTCCATCAGATTGGATGGAGAAAAAACCTTGGGAGAACCCAGGCTCAGTCGGGGGCCAGTTCTCCTCTGGCTTACATTCATATTGTTTAAATATAAATATTAAATATAAATATTGTTTATGAATAAAACGGCGCCATAACATATCGCAGGCGTTGAGTCGTCTCTTCACAGGCGTTGAGTCGTCTCATCACAGGCGTTGGGGCATCCGAAATCCCCGTGAGAGGCTGGACACAAAACTGGACCTGACGAACGCCATTTTTCTCGGGACAAGCGTCCCGAGATAACAGCAGAAAGGCAGATGGGAAATAATTAGCATAGCTGATGTTCATACTGATTTCCGTTATATGGGAGTCGGTATGTGATGGAGATAATGAAAAGGGATTGTTTGTTAGAGCATACCCAGCTGGCATTTTAACGTTGATTCACCGGTGAAACAACGTCAGGGACCAAGGTTGGATCAACATTGGATTATGTTTCGATTTTACAAATCTAATCAACGTTGATTTTGCAACGTTGTTTCACCGTTGACATCATGAATGTTGTTTCACTGTTGATGTCGCGACGTTGTTTCATGGTCTCTCCTTTCAATATGGGTGAGTAAAGGTTGTATGTCGAAGTTAAACCAACATTTAATTATGCTTCGGTTTTGCAAATTGAAACGTTGCTATCGTGACGTTGTTTTAGTCTTACCTTTCAACATGGGAGAATACAATTATACATATTACAACGTAGTTTGAATTTGGAACACGATCATGACAATGCTAACTGATTTAGTGATTAACTGTATATTCTGTAGCCTACACTAAAAAAATTATTAATGTCAAATGACTGACAGCAATGGCTTAATTACAAACACATTTAATAAAGAGTTAGCACATGCTCAGGATTGTAAAACAAGTTTTATTTTGGAAAACAAAACAAAAAAGTCTAAAAATACTTTCTACATCTGAAAACTTTAACTTGCAGTGTTTTCAAAGTAAAGTACAAATATGAATGCAATACTTAAAAGACAGTTTTTGTTCAAGTAAAACTTAGATGAAATACATTTAATATTTAAAATGTACAGTAACAGTAGAAAAAAAACTAAGCATCTCAATAAAATGCGACAGTCTTTTGCATTGCTCTAGTAGAGTCCCAGCTCGAGGTCCGTTCTGATGCCATCGCTTCCTCTTTTTCCCTCTTCACTTCTTGTCTGCTCTCTGTACGATCCTGTAGCCGTACTGGTTACAAGAGGTAAAAACGATATATAAATACAGTTCGTTTTCTCACACAAACCGCTCGTTTCGTGTCTTAGGCCATCAATGTGTACTTACATTTACGAGTCATTAAATCATGATTAATTTGGACTTCTCTGTGCATGCTCTTCGAGGTGGGCCCCATAAATTTCCATTACATGACTGACAGACAAGAACGGTTTGACCTAAAAATGTCAAAATTGAAAATACTGTTGAAACAAAGACACCATCTTGGATGCCTTTGAGGTAAGATAAAACATATCAAAAATTAATTTCAAAGTGAACTATCCCTTTAAACCGTGATTCATTTTTCAGGATTCGTTGAAAGTTCAAGAGAAAAGCAATTAATTAAAAAAAATAGATATTTTGCATCACTATAAATGTCTTTACTGTAACTTTTGATCAATTTAATGTGTCCTTTCTGAAGAAAAGTATTTCTATTTTATATATATATATAAAAAAAAATCATATTGACCCCAAACTTTTGAACGGTAGTGTACATTTTTATTAAATTGAGTAAAATCATATCATAAAAGGTTGATGAATGCATACCTGAAGTGATAGCAGCTAAAGAAAAATCCTCCACCAAATTGCCAGTAATCATCTGGATCCTTGGTGAGTCTGGAAGGGGAAACAAGAAATGATTCAATGAAAAGCCCTAAAAAAGCAGGATTTTTTTTTTTACCATTCCATAAACAATTTTAAAATGTATTTAATACTACAAACGTTTGCCATTATAACACATTCACACAACATGAACAGAGTACTGACACCGCCGTCGGTGTGTGAATGAGTGTATGAATGGGTGAATGTGAGGCAAATGTAAAGCGCTTTGGTGGCCATTAGGTCTATGAAGGCGCTATATAAATGCAGTCCATTTACCATTTACCATTTTACTGTCATCTTTGAGACTGTTAGTTATTACATGATTAAAATGTAAACGCACATTTAAAGCATGGCAATCCCATCAGAAAAATGTGTATCATAGAAAGGGAAGCACACAAAAAAGCCAACTGGTACATCAAAATTAAGCCATAATATAATGTTACCTGCAGCCTTTATCCTGTTATGACATGTCTGAGGGTCTTTCCCTTACTGTTTTCCAGGACTGATGAAGGTAGGTGACATGACCTTTCTGCGGCACTTCATAGGAAGAAAGACAAAAAGTTACTCAGACTTTCTATCAGTAAATGTCTTTCTTTGATGATGAGAATCATACTTTATTAATCCCAGTGTAGGTTTTCAAAAGAGTGTGTAAAATCGACAAGAAACAAAACAAAAACAACTTACTGTAGTTGGTGGTTCCCATTCAGGGAACTTCGAGCTGCGTGTAAACGCCGTGGGAACGCCTCTGCGTGACGAGTCATGAAGCACGTATGAAATCTGTCCAATGGCGAGACGGAACGTCATAGGCGGGGTGACGTATCGACCAGGAAACTATAAAGCATCCCCGAAACACAAGCGCAACAGCTTCTGAGTCTTCACAAGCGCTCTATGTATGAATTTTGTCTGTCTGTCTAATATTGTATATTTATATATATTGATATGGCGAGCAAACAACAGCAGAATTTCAGAAAGTGTGTTCATCCCTGCCCTCGCTTCATCACGGGTGGGGATACACACGATCTGTGTGTTGTTTGTTTGGGAGTGCAGCATGCTCAGTCGGCTCTCGAGGGGCCGGCTGTGAGCACTGCGAGTGTCTGCCCATGAAGACACTTCGCTCCCGCCGGGCACTCTTCGAGGAGAGTGGTTCGGTGCGCGCTCCCCGCGGCTCGGGTCCCGCTGCTGCCGAGGCACAGCGAAGGCTTGCGTCGTGGGGATCGCAGATGGATCTATCAGCGGGGATTGAGACGGGCCCCGCCCTTTCTCTGCCCTTACCTGGTAGATCCAGTGCCTCAGTTCTCGCTGCGGGGGTCCGCGTTGCGGTTTTCCTGCCCGGGCTGAGGCGCCATCACTTCAATTATCCAGTTCTGAGGAGCTGGATGTTGAAAGTGTGGATGCAGAGTCTATGGACTCAGTGGAGAGCGAGGGAAGCTCGTTTGCCATCCCAGTCTCCCGCGAATGTAGTAAAAAAAAAAATAAATAAATAAAAGGGAAAAAAAAAAAAATGGAGGTTTTTGACTCGGGCTGTGGAAAAATTAACCATTGAATGGCCAGTTGAGAAACAAGAGTCGAGAGAGTAAAATGGATGAGAGATTTTTAATATCACACTCACTACCTCCATGCCGGTGTTTGCCCTTCTTCCCCGATCTACACACCGAGGTGTGTAGATCGTGGAACAAACCAGTGTCAGCTAGAATTTTGACACACCAGACCTCTATGTATGCTAATATTGCTGGGTCTAGGAGATATGAGTGAGGGGGAGGTCGTCGGCACTGACGTGATTAATGAGATACTGCGTCAGGCGGCAGATATTTCTCTCCGTGCCACCAAGGAGACGGCCAGATCAGTCGGCCGCTCTATGGCAGCCCTGGTGGCCACGGAGAGGCATCTGTGGCTAAATCTGGCTAATATGAAGGAGAAAGATAAAGCTTTCTCCTGGATGCGCCGCTGTCGACCGAAAAAAACAGGCAGCGGCGCTCCAGAAATGTCTCCCCCTCCGTACTCATCCTTCGGGGGCTGCTGGGCGAGAGCAGCCCCGCCCGTCGAGAGAGCGTCGCGTCTCGGGCTCCTCCCCAGCAAAACTGGGCTGAGACGCGGCGTTCTCAGGCGAGGTCTTCCCGGGATAGAACCGATCTGAGGACGGTTATTGTCGCCAGGAAGGCTTCGTCGAAGAAGTCCTGACGCCACTGGTGTCAGGCTACTGAGGGTGGTCCCCACCGTGAGACAGAGGTGTTCGCCGCTGAATCCGGCGCCCGCTCTCTCTCGGTGCCCTCAGGGGTTCGTTCTGCCAACCCTGCCTGTAATGGGGGGTGCAGACGGTCCCAGCGAGCGATTTCCCGAGGGACGCTCGTTTGCTCCGAGGAGCGATACAGAACGGTCGTTAAACCCTGCCTGTGCGCGGTCACAGGGCGCTGTTTCTGTTTTTAAAAACTACTCCAGAGGCCAGTCTCGAGAGACTGGTACCCTTAGTAGAATTTCTGGTAGAATGGGGAAGTCTTCCAAATATATCTCGTTGGGTCCTGCAGACTATCGAACGCGGGTACGCGATCCAGTTCAGGTCGCGTCCACCTCGTTTCCGGGGGTTTTGCCCACAGTGGTGACCCCGAGCAGGCTCTGGTTATGGAACAAGAAGTGAAAGCTCTGCTACTGAAGGGGGCGATAGAACGAGTTCTTCCTCCCGACAGAGAGCTGGGGTATTACAGCCGGTACTTCATTGTTCCAAAGAAGGATGGGCGGCTGCGTCCGATTTTAGACCTGCGCCTCTTAAATCGGTCAGTAGGGAAGCTCAAGTTCTAAATGCTGACTCTCAAGCAGATCGTGTCACAGATCAGGTCCGAGGACTGGTTTGTCACGATAGACCTAAAAAAAGACGCGTACTTCCATATCTCCATCCTTCCGCAACATCGGAAGTTCCTGAGGTTCGCTTTTTGGGGCGAAGCGTACCAATATCGGGTCCTTCCATTCGGCCTAGCGTTATCTCCTCGAACCTTCACGAAATGCATGGACGCGGCCTTGGCCCGCTGCGTCTCCAGGGCATTTGCATTTTAAATTACATCGACGATTGGTTGATTCTGGCTCAATCAGAGCATCAGGCGATTCGGCATCGAGATGCCGTCCTCGCCCACATCAGAAGGTTGGGGTTGAGACTCAACGCTAAGAAGAGTGTGCTTTCGCCAGTTCAGCGGACCACTTTTCTAGGCGTGGTATGGGATTCGACGACGATGCAGGCACGTCTGTCGCCGGCTTGTATAGCCTCGATTATCTCGACTGTCAAGCAAGTGAAGCTAGGCCAGTCACTCACTGTAAAGGAATTCCAGAGAATTCTGGGTCTGATGGCAGCAGCATCCAATGTGTTACCGTGCGGCCTGCTGTACATGAGACCACTACAGTGGTGGCTCAGGACCAAGGGGTTCTCCCCGAGGGGAAAGCCGCTCCGCAAGATCAAGGTCACGCGACGTGGTCTCCGTGCCCTGGCTATGTGGAAAGAACCTTGGTTCCTGTCCATGGGACCTGCGCTGGGAGCCCCGTGTCGCCGGGTATCGGTGACGACGGATGCCTCTCTCACGGGCTGGGGAGCGATCATGAGTGGTCGCTCGGCCCGCGGGTTGTGGCAAGACCATCATCTCCGATGGCATATAAATTGTCTAGAGATGATGGCGGTGTTTCAGGCTCTGAAACACTTTCTCCCAGACCTCAGAGATCATCATGTTCTTGTCCGGTCAGACAACATGTCTGTGGTCTCTTACATAAACCACCAGGGGGGTCTGCAGGGACCCGTTCTGCTGAACCTGCCTGTGAGGGTGGGCGCAGACGGTCCTAGCGAGTGGTTTCCCGAGGGAAGCTCGTTTGCTCCGAGGAGCGATACAGAACAGTCGTTAAACCCTGCCTGTGCGCGGTCACAGGGCACTGTTTCTGTCTCTATAATTACTCCAGAGGCCAGTCTCGAGAGACTGGTACCCTTAGTGGAATTTCTGGCAGAATGGGAAAGTCTTCCAAATATATCTCGATGGGTCCTGCAGACTATCGAACGCGGGTACGCGATCCAGTTCAGGTCACGTCCGCCTCGTTTTCGGGGATTTTGCCTACAGTGGTATCCCCCGAGCAGGCTCTGGTCATGGAACAAGAGGTGAAAGCTCTGTTACTGAAGGGGGCGATAGAACGAGTTCTTCCCCCGACAGAGAGTTGGGGTATTACAGCCGTTACTTCATTGTTCCAAAGAAGCTAACGATATACGCCTCCCTCACGGGCTGGGGGCGATCATGAGTGGTCGCTCAGCCCGGGTCTGTGGACTTTCTCCCAGACCTGAGGGGTCACCATGTTCTTGTCCGGTCAGACAGCACATCGGGGGTCTTTTTATAGACCATCAAGGGGGTCTGCACTCATGTCCATTATTCAGGCTAGCGCCAGATCCTTCTGTGGGCCCAGGGGAAGCTTCTTCTTTGGCGATTATATATCCCAGGATATTTAAATCGGGGAGCAGACATCCTGTCGAGGCAGGGGCCGAGGCCCGGGGAGTCTATGGAGTCATTTCGGTCATACCGAGGTAGGCCTATTTGAATCCAGGGACTGAGACACTGCAGGCTGTGGTTTCTCTGTATCCACCAGCCCCTCTGGGGTTGGATGTGATGGTACAGGAGTGGCCGAGGTCACCCCTGTACGCATTTCCCCCGATTGCTCTGCTCCCAGGAGTTCTGGAGAGGGTTCACCGAGTCGGGGTCTTTCTACTGTTAGTAGCCCCGCGTTGGCCGGCCCGAGTATGGATGCGGGTCGATACTTCACCCCGCCCAGATCTATGGAGGTTGTGGCTTGGCCTCTGAGGGGCCCAGCTCATAGAATCGGGTCTCTCGACTGAGGTCGTGGAGACCATCCTCCAATCCAGAGCTCCGTCCACGAGGAGATTATATGCCTTGAGGTGGCAATGTTTCACCTCTTGGTGGGGAGAACACCAGTTGGACCCAGTTAACTGCCCGGTGTGGCGGTGCTGGAATTCCTTTGGGGCATTTCTCCACAGGGTTATCCCACTCCACACTAAAGGTGTATGTGGTGGCCTATCTGCTTACCACGTCCCTTTGAGTGGAGCTTTTCACGGGAGATACCCATTGGTAATTCTTTTTCTTCGTGGTATTGTGAGGTCAGACCAAGAGAAACTAATCTGCTCTGCCCTCTGAGGGCTCTAGATGCTTATGTCCACAGAGCTGCCCTGTGGAGAAAGCCTGAACAGTTATCTGTTTGTTTTGGACCTCCGAAGAAAGGTTGTCCCGCATCTGAGCAGAGGTTGAGTAAGTGAGTGGTCGAGGCCATCTCATTTGCATATGAGTCCGCCGGTCAGCCTTCTCCTTTGGCTGTCTGGGCTCACTCAACCAGGGGTATGGTAGCTCCGCTCCAGGGGCGCAGGTGCTTTCGTCTAAATATGTGCCTGATTTCATACAACGGACACCTGCTCGCATGGCGGCGTTGGTATTAGCGTTCCCACGGCGTTTACACGCAGCTCGAAGTTCCCTGAATGGGAACGTCTCTGGTTACGTATGTAACCCTAGTTCCCTGAAGGGAACGAGACGCTGCGTGTCTATGCCATACTCCCAGCATGC